TCCCCAGCCACCTACTGCTCCCCTTCCCCCCAAGGACTGGCTGGGACTACATAAATATTCAGGCTATAAATCTGACTCTCCTAGCCCACTGTCTTCCAGAATCCCCCAGAAGGCAGGGAGGAGTTATCAAACCTGCAACAGTCCAAAGTAATCACAAGCTGCTCCAGCTAGGCAGAGGAGCCTAAAGAACTACATTTACCTAATCTAACTAGCAACCTATTTAGGAGGGTGCTACACACGTTCCAAGTAAAAATGTACAGACATATGTGTGGAGTGTTGGCCTTTTGTTCTGATTGCTGATTGCATGATGCCTGCATGGTTTGGAGTCAGGGACACTTGTGTAACAGATATTGGCATGCTTGTTAAGCACATTATTCATTTGATGATTATAGCCTGGCCACCGGCTCACTTTAAACAGTGATGGACGGCTGCTCTTTTTATTATTGGATGCTTTCTTTTGAAAAAAAATGAATACTGTATCCTTACACATGCTTCACAACTTACTGAATCACTGACCCCCTTCAGTATACAGACCAAGATTCGTAACTCCAGTGGCTGCATGCTTGTTCCAGATCTGTGACTCACTAGGAATTGAGAAAAAAACTAAGCATGATTGCCCTGGAGCTTGTGCCTTGTAAAACAAGCAAGTCCCAGTCTTTCCCATATTTCTATCCTGACTGTATATCGCTTTAATTAGTTATTTCTAGTTATTTCAGCAGTTTCATATTTTAAAGCAACATGCTGCTTTTTATAACACTGGAGTTCTTCTCGTGTTTATCTGTTAAGTATGTCATCTTCCTATGTTCAAATTTGTCCTCCCGTTTGACAACTCTTGTCTCTGTATTTCAGAACGGATGCCATCAATAAGGAACGTAGGATTAAGAAAGAGACCAATATTCTGGACAATAACAGCAATACCAGGACAGGTAACAAATTCATAATTATACACTCATCTTAGGTTATGTGCCTAAAGGTTGGGAAGCCCAATATTACTTACCACAGTATTTGCACTGGAGAGCAGCACTGGGCCAGTACCCAAAGATACCTAATGCAGATGTGCTTTAGTGGTACTTTGGCATTAACTTCTAATAAAGGTGATAGTGAATTTATATCAAATAAATGTTTTATGTCAAATAAAGGTTGCAAGGTAGGTTTTAAAGTACCCATGTCTTGAGAAAAATGCAGGGGCTGGAGGTTGCGTCTTAAAATTGATAATTGCCCAGCTGTCACCCACATCACTTATTCACATAAAATAAAATTTTAAAAAACTCTAACGCCTTTCTATACTGACCTGAGTCCATCGTCATGTGACCCTCTTTCAGAGGTGCTGTCCTGGGCCTGCTGTCAAACTTGTTGCTGCCCATCTTCATTACAGCATCACACCACTGCAGTCTTCTGGAGCCGGGGAGAATCCCGCTGCTGGACCTCCAGTGGTAACTGTTCACATCACCCAGGTTACAATGTTGACACCATTCTGCATTCTAGGAGATAGAAGACTCAGGAGACGGTACATCACAGGATCATGGATCCCCCAGAGGGAATGAAAGGTCAACCAACAGTTAATTCATGTTAGTCATGTGGACATGAAGGCACTTTTTTTTTCTAAGCTCCATCTCTCTATTCAAACCGGAAAAAAATATTTGCTCTTGTCTTCTCTGATTCTCCCCTTACTAAACCCACAACAGTAATATCAGTCTGTATATGCAGTAAAGCATGCTAGTTATACTCACTGTGGAACCTAAGGGGTTAATCCTCTGCATTGTGTAAAAAAGATATTCGATCCTGTCTTCTCTGATCCTCCCCTTCATCTACTGTCCCCATACCATCTGTTGATAAAACAGAGCCTTGGGAGCAAGCTGCATATGCTCAGTTTGGTGTGTATCGCTAGAGAGTTTTTTTCTTTCTTGGGTGAATGCATGTGGTCAGCACAGGGCCAATCAGCACTGTCCAGACAGAGGGTGAGGGGTCCTGCAGCCTCATAGGGGAGAATGAAAACTCCTCCTACAAGCTGTAACCAGTGCTCTGCTAGACACTGATAGAAGTCACAAGACTGCTCTAACTGCTGATGAGAAAAGGTATTTAGCTGTTTATATTTACTAAACTAATTGCATTTCCATGTTCTGTGTACTGTGGGAGACCAGATAGAGTGAATTCAGGTTCCTGGGTTTAGTTACACTTTAAGGACTGTTATGGTGATATCAGTGGTTTAATTACTATGCAATATATATTTTTGCTGCCTATTTACAGGGTCCAAAATTGTTGTACTAAAAAACTATAGCAAAAGCTCTATGCCAGGATGAAATGACCCATAGACAAAATCACTTTGAGGTTAAAAAATCCATAGCTGTCTTTTGTTTTTAGTACATAAAGAGTTCTTAATTAAGCACTAGTTCCTAGGTGAAGAGCCAATTATAGTTTAATCTGCTGGTATCAGCCCAGCACAAGATGAATTCTGGTTGGCGAGTTTGGGTTTGCATTTAATAATTAAAACCTTCCGGGCTCATGCAAGGGTCCTCTTGTTCTTCAGATCTTCTCACAGTAGTGGATATTCTTCTATGATGCAGAGAGAAGCATTATCATGATGATGTCAGCATTACTGTCTGCATCATTTTTGTGAACATGGGGTACTGTGGTGATGCCCCCTCAGGGGATGGGTTCATGCTACCCTGCACTTATAGGATGCCTTCAGTCCTCAAGGCTGAATGATGCTGGGAGTTGTTCGATCTGGTGGACTGAGGTCATTTAGTGGCAGAAAGCTATTACTGTGGTGGAGAGTAGTGGAGGAGGTGAGTATTATTCCCAGAGCTTGTTTCCTCTCCAGGGGACTCATTTATAAAAAATAAAGCCTGGAGTTGGGCTCCAGTTCATGAAAAGAATGCACCGAGTTAAGAGCTGCTGTTTTCTATTTCAAAATGAATAACACACAGCACAAAACTCATCACAAATAGCTTTCCTTTTAGACATGATCCATGTGGAAAGTGTAGACGTCTCCCAATATCTGTGATGTGTAAAAAAAAAAAAAAGCTTTCCATGTGAAAAAGATAAATTTGCCCCCCCCCCCCCCCTTACAGAAACTTTGTAACAAAAGTTCTCCTGTTTTGCAGATAGGATCAGACAGATTAGTGGACTGAAGAATCCCAGTATTACCCTGATACAGTTATCCCAGCTCAGACTAAGCTACATTTCATTACATAGCACAGACAGTTCATTTACAATCCCACTTTAAAGGCTTTTTAACGGGGGAATACCTATGCCCACCTGTTGTGAAAGTTAGAAGAATAATTTCTCTATGCTCATTCAATAAAATATATGACTGTAAAGCCTTTCTCCGAGATAGATAGCCTTTGTGCTTGGCCCACTTTTGTACTGGGAGGATTCTGGGATGGCTTTACATAGGTATGTCACTTTTTAAATGTATATTTTTAGAATGTGTGTGCTATATAGATATTTATGTTGTCAAATCCTTATTTAAATGAGTAAATATACCGGTGTGATAATAAGTGCCTATACAAAAACTTAAAAATTCACCAGCATAGATAGGCATAGGCTCCTCTCATTCCAATGTATATACGATTCCAATGGCATCATAACGTATGTCAGAACAATTCAATATAGTGTAGTGGGCAATAGTAGGAATTGTGCCATTTATTAACCTCCCTGGCGGTATTCCCGAGTGTAGCTTGGGGTAAAGTTTCAGTACCACAAGCGGTAACCCCGAGCTACACTTGGGCTTACCATGCGGCGCTGCTCTGGGATCCCTCGATCACTTACCTTGTCCTGCGCTCCCGTGATGTCCCTCCTGCTGTGTCCCCTGTAATGTCCTCCGACGGATGCCGGCATCTGTCATCTGGGTTCCGTCCCCTGCGAGCGTCGGGACGTACGGGGATGCAACTGGTGGGAAATTTGAAAATGACAAAAAGTGACATTCACTAAATTCACTAAAATCACATAGTAAAACATTACTGTATTAAACCATTTCACATACATGTTGTCCCTAGTGCTTTGTCCTGTGCCCTGCCTACATTTTTACCATTCTTTCTGCCTGAAAACTGAGAAACGTTCATGACGTCCAAAAAGCATCCTTTTATGTCAAAATTGGTTTTAGACCAGCTAGAGAAAAGCGATAGTAAATTAGAACCACTTGCAGAATTGAGTGATAATGATTTGTGGGGAAATTCATCATCAGACACTGAAAACGATTCTGCGACTTTGCTCAGTGATGACTTGGCGCTATATTTCAAATTTCAGTGTTTTTGGTTTGATTATATTATTGAAACAAATTTATTATTATTATATTATTATTTTTTATGATTATTTATTAAATTATAATTTATGATTTCGTGTTTCAAATTTTAACATACCCGGGATGTTTACTAGACTCTTGTTCGGACAGATTTCAGTGAGTTATTCCTAAAAATTACAGGCCTATAATTAAAAAAATACATATTTCCATGCAAAAAATGTACCGCTTTGAGCACAGAAATATGGACATAATCAGACCTGCTAGGGAGGTTAATAAATTATGCATGCAAACGAAATGTGTGTCTCAGCATATATCCAATCTCAAACACAGCATGGGATGTAAAAACCTTTTCCAAAATGGCCGCTCCATAACTTCCGGTTTACGTCTGATGTCAGGACTGACGCGTTTCGTCACTTCCGACTTCAAGTGCTACTTTTTTAGGGTTTCCATACGTGGTGGTGTTTGGATCTTTATTTCAGTCTTTTTTAATTGTATATATTTTTAGAGCATATTTTAAGTTTAGGGTGCTCAAAGCACAGTATTTACTTGATGCTATTTGTTGATGGCAGCGGCAGTGCCCAGACCATTCCGACTGTTATGGCTATGGGGGAAACAATGAAGGATTCAGATTGTTTATCCTAGATCTCAGATTACCTTGGTGTCCACAGGGAGAAACCCATACAGCAAGGTAAAATTCTTGTCTTGTGCTGCCTATAAAGTGTGCCATGAGGGTTCAACCATATTGTATGGCACATAGAATTACATTAGAACATTCTAAACTTGTTTGTACCAACAGTGGTGAGCAGGGGCGGACTGACAACTCATGGGGCCCCTGGGCAATAGGGGATCATGGGGCCCCCTGTGTCCTTGCCCAAACTCAAAAAAGCCTATGAAAAAGGTACCAGGGGCATCTCATGGGGACCCCTACTGACCCCGGGCCCTCGGGCAGTGCCTGAGTTTCCAAATGGTCTGTCCGCCCCTGGTGGTGAGCAAGGTTGTTTTAAAGAAACACCAGTCATCAGGATCTTTTTTTATACCAAAAAGGAGAATGGATATCTGATTGGTTATCAAAATCTTTAAGCATGTTAGAAGACATTTTGACAGAACATCCACCTTTGGTTACAGCAAACAAGCATGACGTGGCTAGTTGTAAATATTAAATGTCCTCTGCAGGCTTTAGAATGTAAATCCAATTTAATTATGACTTTGCTCTGTATCTTCATATTTTTCCTTGACTAAATGATCCCACCAAATAAATGGCAAAACCATATTTATTAAGAATTTAAAGCAATATTAATTCCCAAACTAAAAATGTAATACATTGCAGCTAACCCAATCACTTTTTTTAGCCTTTTTTTTCCTCTGTTTTCACCTGGTAATCTGGCCAGTAACACACCTCCTGTATTAGAGTGCCTCCACTCTGGATGTAAGAGCACAGGGGGCACCTTTGGACAGCAGCATTGTCAGTTTGAGGGGAGGGGTGTGTAGATGTACTAGTAGATTTAGATACACTAACAAATTGAAGCCAAACTCCAGCTAATACTTTGTAAGCAGTTATAGCAACAGTTTTTATTTATTTGGATAAAGGTTTTACAGAAATAAAAGCTGATCATTGTAACCCCCCTGTCAGTGATAAATAGTTTGTCTCATCCCTGTGACTGCTACATTTGCAGAAGAGTTCTGTTGAAAGATAACAGACTTACTGGCAGGATCACCAGATGAAAAAAAGAAAGAAAGAAATCCGAAAAAAGAAAACTAATGTAGCCATCACATCTAAGAATTGGTAAGCTGCAAAATAATAAATGTGTAATACTTCTTTAAAGTAAAATAACTTAATCCATGTAAAGTACGGAGAGCAAAGACAGTGTCAAAGATCAGATGTAAACATATGTTTTATGTTTTCTGTGAAACTTCTAACATATGATACACAATATGCTCTCTAAAATCACATTGGCACTGCCTGGCCTATATAGAATATAACTTGAAAGGTTTTGGCTACCTTATACAGCATGTTAAAGTCTTTATTAATATGTGTGTATTATTAGCTTAATTACTATAATGTAGGTAGTTGAAAGGCTTAAGATGAAACAAAAAAAAAAAAATTAAGAAATTATTTAAAGGCAAAGTATAATGGTTTTGTGTCAGTTTTATTTCATTTCTTAATTTATATATTTTTTAAAATGATGATTTATATCCTGTTTTCCAGTATATAAAATCTTTATTGTACAAGTAAATATTTGGTCCGGGGAGCAGTCGTGACACCATTTTTGTAGAACACAGAGATAGCCCTTTCCTCTTATGCTGTTTTTCTCTCTCATTTAAATTCTATACAGAGCAGGGAGGGGATTAATTACTTTTTGATTCATTCAGCTGTACCCTGTACCATACATTCCGTATAATCAGGTCAGTGATGTGTGCTAACCCATAGAAACAGGTTTAAATCTACAGTTCAGAGTAGTATTTTAAAGTGAAACTTTACTTAAGTGCTGATAGATTTCCTAATGCTGGCCCCTTTTGCAGATATAGCTATGTGAAACATTAAAAATAAGTGCCTATACTCTTTAGAATCCAGTAAGGCACTGTCTCACCCTGTTCTGCACATGCTCAGTTGTCCTGTATTCTCTGCACTGTGCCGATAATTAGTGAGTCGCTAGAGGCAGATCTGCTGACAGCCTGCAGATTTACTGCTGCTGAGGGGGTAGGAAGCAAGAGGAATAACACAAACTGTGCAAAGGGAACACAGATTAACCACTTTCTGATCGCGCTATAGCCGAATGATGGCTACAGTGCAGTTGTCCAGTTCTAGGAGGGTCCTCCCAGAACTGTGCGCCCTTAGCTGCACACACTCGGCACTGTCTGTGATTGCTGTGTCCTTTGGACACAGCTGATCACATGATATGGCAAAGGGCCATCACAGTGGTCTTTTTACCATGTGATCAGCTGTGTCCAATCACAGCTAATCATCATGTAAACACACTGGCAGTACTTTCCTCACACTGTCACAGCATGAGGAAAGTACTGCCAATAACCTGCAAGGGTGAAAGGAAACATCTACACCTGTGATCAGCATCTTACCATGTGATCAGCTGTGTCCAATCACAGCTAATCATCATGTAAACACACTGGCAGAACCTGCAAGGGTGAAAGGAAACATCTACACATCTACACCTGTGATCAGCATCTTACCATGTGATCAGCTGTGTCCAATCACAGCTAATCATCATGTAAACACACTGGCAGAACCTGCAAGGGTGAAAGGAAACATCTACACATCTACACCTGTGATCAGCATCTTACTATGTGATCAGCTGTGTCCAATCACAGCTAATCATCATGTAAACACACTGGCAGTACTTTCCTCACACTGTCACAGCATGAGGAAAGTACTGCCAATAACCTGCAAGGGTGAAAGGAAACATCTACACCTGTGATCAGCATCTTACCATGTGATCAGCTGTGTCCAATCACAGCTAATCATCATGTAAACACACTGGCAGAACCTGCAAGGGTGAAAGGAAACATCTACACATCTACACCTGTGATCAGCATCTTACCATGTGATCAGCTGTGTCCAATCACAGCTAATCATCATGTAAACACACTGGCAGAACCTGCAAGGGTGAAAGGAAACATCTACACATCTACACCTGTGATCAGCATCTTACTATGTGATCAGCTGTGTCCAATCACAGCTAATCATCATGTAAACACACTGGCAGTACTTTCCTCACACTGTCACAGCGTGAGGAAAGTACTGCCGATAACCTGCAAGGGTGAAAGGAAACATCTACACTGATAATCACGGCACTATTTATCAGTCTCCACTGAGATTTTGTATTCTGACATCATGGAGACTTCCCTGCCGTCACAATACACTGATCACTGCTGATCGAGTGGCAAAAAGCAGTCAATCGGTAGATCGAATTCTGTACAACCACCCTCCCCATACATGGATCAAAAATTGGCTGGTCCCTGCTTAACTGGCCACATTTTTGATCCATGTATGGCAGGCTTTAGGAAGTGCTGCTCTGGGCTTCAACGAAGTAGCGTCCTCCAGCAAGAAGAAACAGGAGCAATGCTGGAGACAATTTACAACACACACTAATTTTGGTAGAATAAATAATGATGTGTAATGTATGTTCTTTTGCTAAAGTACATTAATTGTTATCAAAGTTTAATTGTTAAAATTCCGCTTTAATGACAGATTCACTACCGTAGTTTGAGTCTCCTACAATCTACAACAGATTTAGCCATTCATGGTGATGGTCACAATTAACAGACCATTTGTGGAAAATAGGAGCTTTTTTCAAAGTTAAATACACTTGCTGAAGTAGCTCTCACATTATCACAAGCAGTATCCGAACTGATGGCTGCTGGTCCCAAAAACTGTCAGTAGCTCATTCGAGGACTAGGTATTGGCAAAGAAGGGCTAAAATAGCTTTACTCTGCAGATAATCTGTATATTCATGGTTCCTTAACCTCCCTGGCGGTATGATTATTTCAGATTTTTGGTGCTGAAACCGGTACCATTATTTTGCATGGAAATATGTATGTGCCTGTAATTTTTAGGAATATCTCACTGAAATTGTCTGAACAAAAGTCTAGTAAACATTCCGGATGTGATAAAACTTGAAACATGAAATCATAAAATTATAATTTAATAAATAATCATAAAAAATAATAATATAATAATAAATTTAATTCAATAATATAATCAAACCAAAAACACTAAATTTGAAATATAGCGCCAAGTTCGCACATCGCTGAGCAAAGTCGCAGAATCGTTTTCAGTGTCTGATGACGAATTTCCCCACCAATCATTATCATTCGATTCTGCAAGTGGTTCTGATTTACTATCACTGTTCTCTAGCCGGTCTAAAACCGATTTTGACCTAAAGGGATGCTTTTTGGACGCCATGGACTTTTCTAAGTTTCCAGGCAGAAAGAACAGTCAAAATGCAGGCAGGGCCCAGGACAAAGCAGTAAGGACAAAATGTATGTGAAATGCTTTGAAACAGCAATGTTTTGCTATGTAATAATCGTTTACAAAAAAATTAAAACTTTCAATTTTGCCGCCAGTTCTGGCCCCCGTATCGCCCGACGTCACAGGGACCGGAACATGGAAGCTGGATGCCGGCATCGGCCAGAGGAGATGGCCGGGGACGCTGCAGGGGAAACATCGCGGGAGCGAAGGACAAGGTAGGCGCTGCAGGGAATCACTGAGCAACGCCGCATGGTAAGCCCGAGTGTATCTCGGGGTTACCGCTTGTGGTACTGAAACTTTACCCGAGCTACACTGGGGAATACCGCCAGGGAGGTTAATAGACATTTGCACGCTGGAAATTTTTGTTTTGGATGCATTCATTCTTTGAAGAATTTTGTTTCATCATATTCCTTCTGCTGAACGGATTTATTTCTTGGATTCATTTTGTATCTTCAGCATTTGTTTTGTATTTTCGGCATTCGTTTGGCATGTTTGTTGGTCCGGGTTAATCAAAAAAATATTGCAAATATATATTTCGGGTGGATATGATATTCATATATCAAAACTATTTGGAAGGATTCGATATTTTCAGACACAAAAGAATAATTAATGCAAAATCCGGAGGTCCCAACTTTTTTAATCCTAAGAATTGCATTATACTGTAGAATTGAATTGACTGACTGTGATCATTCAAATTCAATTTAAATCACAAATTTATTTGAATTTGAATTATCGAAAAAATGTGTAAATTGAATTCATTTTCCCATGGGCCTGAACTGCTATCGCATCACGTGAAATCAACCGAATGAAACAAATGCATTAATTTCCTTATAATTTTTTTCAGATTTGTTGAGATTCACATGCATCCGAATCTCTGAAAATCAAATTTTTGTTGGAAAGTCTATATGTTACGAAATGCACATGTCTATTCCTAAACACAAAACAAAAAGTCAGAATTAATCTTTGGCTTTAGTAAACTTGAGTTTATTAGCTAGGAGTTTATTCTCTTTTGGTGCCCTACTGAACAAAGTCCGTAAGTATGGTGTGTGCAGAAAGCAGCAAACTAATGGGTTTTATGTTTGTGACAGTTTCTTTAGAGTTTTTTTTTTACTGGTTAAGGAGCAGGGGTGTATCTTGTACAGCCTAAAGTCCTACACCTGTGTCAGTTTAGCAGGTGAGGTCCTGGTCTGTGTAGCAGAGCCACTGTTAGCAGCCCGTCCAGCACTGATTTTGTGTAACAGAATCAGTGCTTGTCAGAATTTCAACAAAGTTACATTGCAGTTAGCTGCACTTGTCAGAGGCAACTAATCACAATGTAGCAATGTTTTTGAGTCACTGGAGTAAGCCTGAAAGAGTAAAGTACAACTACGTGCTGCAGCATGTACAGTTTTCCCTTAGTCCCCCTGCAAAGTTCCACATGTACCTGTTTTTCCTGCCAGTGAAGTTCACCTAATGCAGCTTCCTGTGATGGTGTGGTAACAATACTGCGCTGCTCTTAAATTTAGGCCAAAGTTGCCAGCCTGGAGAAAATGAGTGCAACTGTACTTGCAAAGTGCACCATCTATTTGCTTTTAGTAAATCAACCCCATAGCTTCCTAATAAATACCAAGCATTCTAAAGTCTCCACTTCATGGGTTAGTTTGTAAGGGTAGATGGGTGGTACTACCTCCATGTTTCCCATTTACTTGTTGGGTAACTCTAGAGGCCTACCCTGGGGTGGGTTGTTCTGGGCTATGCTAGGCACCTGTAAAAGGATCATTCTGCTTTACACATTGCGGCAACTTTACTCTGTGCCGACTTCATCAATGCCCTGGGGCATGGCTGAGACCACTGTGGGGGAATACTCAACCTTAAAGAGGACCTCCACTCTTAGAGATGATCCTGCACTGTGTAAACTTGCACAATAACAGTCCTCCAGTTAACTATCGGGTTCCCGTGACAATGTACACCTTCACTGTCCACATCCACTTGTCCAGCATTTTCCACTACCTCTCCTGGTAGGAGAAGCGGGCCCTGACGTGCACTTAGCATAGGCTCTGTACATGCACTTAAGTTTGAGCTTCCATACCAGGATGGGAGCCTCTGAGGGACTGATCCTCTTCCGTTGTTATGGTATACAGACCACTGGCGGAAGGAATGCAAACAACATCTCCCTCACTGCTATAGGCCGTGGTCCTGCCTGTGACAGATTGCTTTACTGGCGCTGGGCTTCCGTTACCCTTGACTCAACTGACTACACACCAGGATGACTCTTAGTGTAGTGTCTTAATACCTCAGTGTCTAGTGACCTAAACTGTAATCCAAGTGTAAGATATGCAAGTTACATGCACTGCACCCCTTTAATAACTTCAGACCAGGCATGAAACAAAATTGAATTCTTTACTTAAGAAAATATGTTGAAGTCCACATGCATGAGAACATTTCTTCCCTACATCTCTAGACTCTAACTCCAGCTTGTGTGCTGCCCTGGATTAACCTGAAAAGATGTAGTTCATCAATGATGAAGCCCATGGTTAATGGCAATGTCCAGCAGCTGGTGTTTTCTGGGTGAATCCCCAAGTTCCTACATCATGGCAGCAAGGTTTCAGGCAGAAGCAGAACAAGAGATCAAACTCTTCTCCTCCTCCTCCTCCTCTTAAGGACCACTAACCCTTATTTACATTCCAGGATAAGTGGGTTGGACCCAAAAAAACCTGCCAAGAGGAAAACCTGCGATCTAAGGTTAACCCTATCTCTCCTGTCTGGAGCAGCATCTAGCTAGCTAAATTGCAGCCTGCTTACAAGCTCCTGTCTGATGTCTTCTAGTGGTAACATAGCAGGCCCATACTATGCCTATCATTTCCATCCAATGAATTTGAAGCTGCAAAGCAGAAATTACTATCCTGCCCCCTTTGCTATTCTCTGAGTCTAGCTATGTACACTGTACTTTATAGGAAATGTTTAATTGTACTGTGTTTTCATGGAGATACGTCTATGGAATTCAATTGTGTCTGTTAGAAATGATTCTGTAGACACAGCTGTGTCAGTTTCATCTAAGTTTTTTCTAAGCAGTCAGCATATTTTTTAAATTTACCAAGGAGAACACTTTATTACCATATAGGTAGTATATGCTATAGTCTGTATAAACCTGATAGCTTCGATGTGTTAATTTACAATATGTAATTTACACTAGTATCACGTGCAGATTTCTTCTACGTTGGAATTTGCAGCGTGTATAAAAGTCATTGAAGCACGCATGAAAACTGATGTCTCTGCAAGTGAAATCTGCACGTCAGTTTTTTTTAAGTTTTTCTGCACGTATGGTGTGAATGAGACCTAAAACACATTCTCCTTTGCACTGGCATTCTTAGAATCAGCCTACACTATTTTTAGCATAGACAGTCTCTACCATAAATCCACACCAAGACCAATGGTGTGCTGATTTTTCTCCTGAACAAAGACATTCTCCACCAAAATGATACAACACCAAGATCCCAGTATAGGAAGTCATTACATCCTCCACTCCCCACCTATATTCTGAACATTCATGCTAAGTCTTTTACATAATCTGGCTAAGCAGTGCGCAAGTGGAGTTGTGAATCTGAGTTTGACGTAAACCAGCACTCACTTCCAGCAAATGAATTGAACATCAGATTTCATAACACATATCCAGCACTGCTTGCATGCACCTCCATTCACTTTTCACAGCACTTGGAAGTCTCCAAACCCAGGATGCTTTATGTTAAGTGGTAGCCATCAGTTTAGAAATGGGAACTCTGCTAGCCCCCTTCCAGCATCCCATGGTGCAATGTCCTGGGCCTTTCTGGCCAGCTAAGAGAGGAGGGGTGGAAATTTCAGATTACCAAACTTAGGAGTTGGTTATGCATACTATTTAAGCACTCAAGCTTGAGAGCTCCTGGGAGCGCTAGAAGAATTAATTGAACCAGAGGCACCCTGCTTTCAACTATTTCTATGTTCGGGGGCCTGTCTATAAAGTAGTGTTGAACTGAATCGGGTTTGAAACCTTTTAGTCATCTTTTTCTTTTTGTTAAATCCACCCACCACTTTCCCATGAAATTTCAAAAGAGCAATATGCAGACAAAAACAGAGAACAGGCTTTTAAAAGTTAAAAAGTCTTGAATTTGTGCCCAAAGTGGTGTGCAAAACTGGCAAACTGGAACAAAAGAGGCCAAACAGGATAAAATTGCTGATCTTATACAAAAGAAAAGGGAGAAACTTGTGTTGCAAGCAATTATGCCACTGTTATACTGCCATATTAATCCTGCAAGCTGTTTTCTCAAAATCCAGTTTTACAGCTTTATAAATATTGAAAATTTCAATAAAATACATGAAAATTGGTTTAAAAAGTGCTGAAGTGATGAATGGGAATATTGAGCTTGACCTTCAAACAACCTTTTATAAGTAGGTAGAACTATTAAATAGAAAAAAAAAAAATCACAGAACAAAATATCAGACTAACTTTTTAAAGCCTTTATGAACATGCCCCTTTATTTTACTCGTTGGGGTAACTTCAAACTTTTACATGCTGTCTGTATATCGTGGTGCTTTGAAGCTGGATTCACACTTGTGCACTGTAGTAATTCATATGTTACCATAATACACAGCAATGTGCATTATTTTTGTTGGTGCATTGCAATGCCATTCATTCTGTGAATTAAACCCAGAACCCTACATTTACTATATCTGGTCTCCCACAGTACAGAGAACATGGAAATTATTTTTGTAGATATAAACATCTAATTAGCTTTTCTCATCAGCAGTTAGAGCAGTCTTGTGACTTCTATCAGTGTCCAGCAGAGCACAGGTTACAGCTTGTAGGAGTTTTCTTTCTGTTCTAGGAGGATGCAGAACCCATGACCTCTGTCTGGACAGTGCTAATTGGTCCTGTACTGATCAAATGAACTCTCCCAAGAAAAAAAAAAACCTTTAAAGCAATGTACACCAATCTGAGCATGTGCAGAGTGTCTCCACATGATATGTCTTATCAGGAGATAAGAGGGGGGGGCACTGGAAGAAGGGGAGGATCAAAGAAGTCAGGATCAAACAGTATTTTTACACAATGTAGAGGATTAACCCCTTAGGTTTCTCTGTTAGTATATCAAGCATGCTTTACTGCATAAACAGACTGATTTTACTGTGGTGGGTTTAGTAACACTTTAATGGCACCTCAATTCAATTTTAGAACGTACCTGTAT